ACAGCAGGCTGTGGGGCAGGGAGTGAGGCTCAGGCACCAGCTGGGGCTGGGAGGGCAGGAACCGCCTCTGCCTCCTGGAGAAACACTGGGGCCAGATCCCGTGGCTCTGGGCTCCCCTGGCCCCTCACTGCCTCCAGGTCAGCGTCTGGGATTCTTAGGGGCTGGGTCAGCCGCTCTCAGCTGCTGGGGAGGCAGCGAGAGGCAGCAGGCTCCTTCTTAGCGTGCCTAGGAGGGAAGGGAGAGGGGGAGGGGGAGGGGGGCCCTCCCCCTCCCTTCACCCCCTCTCACCCCGTCAGCACTGCTGCTGGGCAGGGTCTGAGCCTCCACTGGAGGAGGTGGGAAGAGGCCAGCTGCAGGCTGCGGGGAGGGTGCCCCTAGCACTCTCCTCACATCCCGGCGGGGCTGCTGAGGGGGCTCTGCACCCAAGCACACCGCCCTCCCAGGCTCTGGTCCCCGGGGCAGGGATGACCCCCTCACAGGTACCCCTCCACCCCACAGCCCCTCCCCTGTCCTCGCTCTCCATCGGGCCCCAACCTGGCTTCCGTTTTCACAAACTCCCCAAGAAAAGGAAGGAAGCCCCTGAATAAACCACAGAAGCAGCAGCAGCTCTGGAGCAAGGACGAGAGGCCAGTGGTGTGTGGAGGGCGGGGGCGCTGGGGGGCAGGGGCGTGGGTAGATGATGGCATGCAGCACGGGACTCCTTAAGAGGGTGGGGTCCCCATTTCCCCCAGGTATGTAAGGGATTGGGGGAGGGGTCAGCTGACCCTGAGGAGGAAGCTGTCTGGACAGGTCACAGGGAGACGAAATCCATGGCCTGCAGGAGAGGCAGGGAGAGCAGCAGCAGCAGCAGCCAGGAGGCGTCCTGGGCCAGCAGGCCGACGCCCCTGCACTTGACCAGCTTGTCTGTGGGGAGAGAAGAGACGGGGAGAGGGCAGAGCAGGCATGAGGAGCAGAGCCCAGGCCGCCACCTGCGGCTCCCCGGGGAGGCTGGCGCCATGAGGCTCTCGGCCGGAACCAGGGCCAACCTGGTCCAGCAGAACCAACCACCTTTCCCATGCGCAGGGTCCTGAGTCCTTGAACAAACATCATACCCAATCTCTACTAAGCGTCCTCACAGGAAAACTGGGGTGACTAGCCGCTGTGGCTCAGTGGATAGAGCGTTGGCCCGCAGACCCAAGGGCCCCGGTTCCCTTCAGGTCAAGGGCGTGTACCTCAGCTGCAGGCTCCTCCCCTGCCTGGGGCCCTGGTCAGGGATCGTGCAGGAGGCAACCAGTCTGATGTGTTTCTCTCACATTGATATTTCTGTCTGTCTTTCCTTCTCTCTCCCTAATATCAATGGAAATGTCCTCGGGTGAGAATTAACAAAAATACAGACAAAACTGTGGGTGAGGGTCAACCCCGTTTTCCAGGTGGGGAGAGGGACTGTCTGACT